CCCCGGGGGTCATGATTTGAACAAACTTGAATCTACACTACCTGTGGATGCTTCCATATAAATATGATCAATTATGGCTTTGTTATTTTTGAGAAGAAGATTTTTAAAGAATAATCCTATAGATTTCTATGTAAAAATTTGGTCAGCTATTGTGGCCCCGCTCTACCCGCGGGGGTAATGATCTGAACAAACTTGAATCTAAACTACCTGAGGATGTTTCCCCATAAGTTTCATCTTTCCTGGCACAGTGGTTCTTGAGAAAAAGATTTTTAAAAGATACCACCAAATTTTCATTAATTCCCAATTACGAGGGGTGATCAAAAAGTTCGCAAACTAATTGAATAACTTCCATACAAGAAACAATATTTGGTTTTAATGTTGATTATATTTTAAATTAATCCTCTCCAATTTTAATGCACGTCAACCACCGTTCTGCGCATGCGCGAATCACGTGATATTGGCGGTCACGTGACCCCCTCCTTAGCGTTCTATCACAAAAGTTAAAAGATTTTTCTGAGTTTTATATTTCTTTCCATGTGAGTTAATTTTTATGACAAGAACAGTTAATTTGTCAGAAATGGTCATATCTCGGCAACAGAATGGGTGAATAATAACATCCTTTTCAAAAATAAGCATGGCGACCATTAAAACACAAATCTTCTGTCTGAGGAGAGACCTTTATTCAAGATGGATAGAGAATGGGTGCATCCTTTTTATAATATCTGATATGTTTAAAATCTGAAGTAAACGATATCTTCGGTCTTTAATACTTGTATCATTGTTCAAATATTCAACTATTTTTCAAAGTGCTAATTGGAGGTCTTTGATAGCAACTTGCTTAATTAAAAATACATATCTTTTCAAACTTGCTTTCACTGGGCAAGATGACAAGTATCATTTTTAACCATCAACCTTCCTTCACTAAATTGATTAATCTAATCATTAATTGAAATTATAGGAACTCATTTATCTCAATAAACTGTGTACAAATGATTATATGATACTGTAGAGGGATTTCTAAGATATTACAATAAATTGTACAGTCGTTTGTTGAACGAGTTCGACTGAGACAACCACTTTTCGTCACAAGTGACCTAAATAGTGATGTCATTTTCACATTGTGACGTCACAAACAAGGAGAGAAACTTTATTCAACATATGCTATTTATAGACCTTGTGTATGGCTATGTGTGTACCGAATTTCATTCTAATCTGAATTGTGGTTTTGTAGATATAGAGATAGTTTGCGACCTTTTTGATCACCCCTCGAATATGAATAGGTATAATAGATTCCCACATTATGCTACTATAAAAATCGAATGCAAGGACATGCATGCACATGCGCATGCGCAAAAATGAATATTTTGGTAAAATTGGTAACATTAATATTTGTATTTATTTTTTATTTGATTCTCAGTATATAAAGATATGTTAATCGTTTAGCCAACATGTCATGCTCATTTTGCATATGAATGAATGTGCGCGCGCATGCAAACGTTAAATGACATATAGTTGATATCATTGTATTTCTTTTAAATTCTAAAATGAAATCCTTCCATACTGAGGAAATTAAAAGCAAATCTTACAGGAATAAGGCACGAAAAGGAATTTGGGGAGCGTTTGGGGAACATCTGTAACGGTACCCGTTACAATTAACACTAGTTAGATTTCTTTTTAAAAGAAAAAAAAAGATATCGCCCAGCTCAATGGCCCTAAGTGCCGATTATAGGATAAAATTTTTCGCTTTCCATCGCCAAGTGGTGGCGTCTCCATATGAATTAAAAATTCTCGACAGGGACATTAAACAAAATACAATCAATCAATCAATGAAACATGCAAACTCAGATAATCAGGTACATGTAGCACAAGTAGCTGGCCTTTCAATACAATCAGAAGCTATTGTTTTAAGTGATTGACAGGCGGTAAGTTTTTGATCTTGTTTAAGGCAGATTTTAAGGCAGTTAACGTAAAATTGGTTGTTTAATGCTATGAATAATCGTTTCTTTGTAAAAGAACTAGTTAGAACGCATTTGCATTATGTCTATAGGATAAAACATTTGAAATCGTTTTGTTTTACAAACGTGGTAAACACGACATGCGATAGCCACTAAACATAATGACGTCATCGTCCTCTACTACACAAAGTCTGCAACATGGACAAAATATCTTCGTCGCAAAAGCGTACATGTACCTTATTTTCTTTTAAAGTAAAAGGTTATAAATGATATAAGGATATCAGGATATTTCAATGATTCATGATAATGCAGCAAAAATGTTGAAAGTGCAACTGTTTAATTACCATTCGAAATGTTTTAATTTAAAACAGGGTAAAAATCGATATCCAGAGTAAGATTTCTTCATTTTTCTTATCAGTTGAAAAAGTGCTTAGGATTTGTGCTTGAATTTAATAATGTCTATGATAGTCTTCGTAATATTATACATTTTAATTTAAAATGAAGGTAGAATCTATGTCGGAAAAGTCTTTGTCGCAAGATTTCCAAACTTTTCAAAATGATAAATTAGCACTCGCTTATCAATCAGTCAAAAGCACAACACATGTTTCCTTGCTATTAAATATAGTGCAGACTGTGAAACTTGGAATGGTAATTTCATACTGAAACTGCATATTTTCAGTCATTTTTAGGGGTACTTGTCATAAAGAAAATTTGAAAAATCTCAAGAATACTTTTTCAAAAATTTTCGTTGATCGATTCTATTAACTGAAAAGTGTTACATACTTACACGCAAAAGAAACGCAACGCCCTACTTTAGAGGGAAATAATTATATAAAGTAAAGAATTTTGTATCTTAAAATTATGAATATCTTCAATTTGGTAAACATCGGTAATTTAACGGTTCAACTATTTTCATACCCTAACCGGAAGTCAAGTTTGAGTCTGCTTCACAGAAATCAAAATTTACATGTTTAACAAAACATTTGGCAATATTATAGCGTTTTGAGGGTTTTTTTTAATTTTCATCATAAGTAATGCAGCAATATTAAAAAAAAACAATTCTCCTTTCGTTTTCCGTAATGATGCTAAAGCTACTTTAAAATGGCTTCTATTGGCTTGTGTACGCAATTCCATTGCTCTAGCTGAAAAATTTCAATGTAAAGGTGATGGAGAGTTGATGCAAAAATTCACTCCACTACGCCTCAACAGGGTCTTACGTATACTATGCATTAAGGACAGTCCTTGTGACCGGAAGTCCAAGGGTGGCTACACTGCTCTAAGTTAGAGAAAATTCGACCTAATCATCTGAAAAACGGGCATTTAAAAAAGCCAAAGAATAATTCATTCACTCGGATCTCGATATTAATGAACTTACTGCATCGTAGAAAATAAACTGCAATTGTTGTTTAGGGCATTCTTGCACGTTTTACTTGAATGGCTGGGAGGGTGTGTGTGCTTTAACAGTCATATTTTACTTAGAATAGTAAACAGATAACATTTAACATTTTTATCAAATCTCTGATATTCTGAAAAGTGAGTATAGCCTTACTTTATTCGCTTTTGAAAATCATAGAATAAAAAAATCAAACATTTGTAGATTACTGCTTGTTGCGTTTCTTTTGCGTGTCAGTATACAAGATTTCTCTGTAATAAATTCTTTTTTATTCAATTGACATAAAGATTAGTCCACATTTTAAGAAAAGTTAGGCAAGAGATTTCTTTCATTCTTAGTGAATTTTCCACCTTAATTTGTAAATAGTTTCCAGAAGTCTTTGTCAGAATGTTTTCAATCTTCAATATGATGAACAACGTACCCAATTGATTACAAAAAGTGATTAAAATATATACCTTTCCCCTCAAACCAATGACAGATTAGTTATTTACCAATGCTACTTTTCTTGACCTTTTTGCACTTACAAAGGATTTAATTATTGTATGACTGTTTGGGGTTGCTTTCAGAATAACAATGTGAATATTTATCAAACATTTAATATTTCTGTTTTAAAAGGGTCATATTTGATAGAAAAAATGTAATAAAAAACCAACCATTTAAAATTTACATGAATATTTAACGAATAATTATGATAAGGAATGCACATAATTTCATGATAGACAACACAACATATCCACACAATCTTCAATACATCTCTGACTCAAACACATCAAGATTTTATACTGTTTAGTTGGCAACTAATGATTTTTTAGAAGGATTTTTGTTTTCCTCAAAATAATTGTATACCATTCATAAGTTATCACAACTAATAATATGACGTCATAATTTGTACTTCCTTTAACATGCTGTTGGTACTAAATATGCATAAGAAAATGTCTCAGTATTAAAGATATACCCATGTACAAGTTTTGCATTTTTATTAGCTCATTTGCGTAAACACGTCTATACCTAGCCTTAATGACTTGCGAATACAAAAATATGTAGTTAATAGTCAGCAGGATCGTTATATTTAAGACATAACAAATCGAATAAGGCAAAAAAAAAAGTTGTCTATTTTTAATTTGTAATTTGAGAATCTTTTTGGTTTAGTTTTGAGGATTTTAATTTTTTGGGGAGCGAAAAAAATATTCTTTTGATTAAAATCTCAAATCAAGCGTAAATATTTCTATTATTGAGAATCCACACTTTTAATACTGAAGTTGACGTCCTTAGGGATTAAATTGCGTAGCGATATTTTCCAGCATTCTAACAATATCGGAAACATTAAAGTATCAACAATCTAACGTTAGAGTTCTTTATGTATATGAACATGAAAAAGCAAACTGAAAAGTTGGCCAAATTCAGTTTTCTCTAAAACAAATAGTAAAGTCTTTTCAAGCATTTACTGCCCTAAAAACCAATGGTATTATACTGTATATTTAAACTGTTTGAAAAGTTAACAAACCAGATTTGTGATAGTTTTAAGTGCGCCCGTAGTGAATCATGGTGTCACAATGGTTTTTAAAAATATTAATATTTTTACATGCAACATACCCTGAATCCATCATGTTATCGTAGAATGACTGATTTTAAACAAATATGTAAGTACTTACCAATCCAGTACGAGTCATTAGCGTTTCCAAACCCATTTTTGTACTCTGCCCATGTTCTGTCAAAACTCACGGATCCGCTCACTCGTTTCTGAATTGCCTTTGGGATAAAAAAGAAATAAATGCTAAACTTACAGTATTGTTTGGTTCTTAAAATATATATATATTTATAATTAATCTACTGCTCAGCCCGCACAGTACAAAAGTGCTTTACGCTTAAGTTTTTCATTACAGAAAACTCAAATGTACAGCAGTTTCAGATAAGGTTAAAATAGAGAAAAAGAAGAAGAAAAAGAGAATTAGAAAGAAATCTTACTGTCCACCCTCCACTCTCGGTTTCCATGTCACAATACACTCTGACCTGTGTCTCGTTATGAAAGGGATATACTACATAGACACCGGACTGTGTTTGTCCCTCTATGTAGTGGTCCTGACAATCCTTATTGAGTTTGGCATCTGTATGACAAAAGACGTCATGGATATTATGATTATGAAAAGAAGAAAACGTGGAAGAAAAAGAAAAAGAAAGAGATAGAGAGAGAGAGAGAGAACGTACCTTTTTGAACAGTTTTCAACGTTCTGTTATTTAGAAGATCGTAAACGTCTGCAATTTTTCTACTGAACTTCCGTTTAAATTCCTGAATCTTTTTCTGGTAATTATTGTTTTCTCTTTTCTGCTCCTCAGTCAGGGAATCAACCTTTTTTTGTAATATTTCTAACTTCCGTTGTAAAGCGTTATCCTGACTTAGAGTACTAACTTGTCTTTCTAATGTTTCTACTCTGTGCTCCAAAGTTCTATCCTGCCGTAAGGTATAAACCTGCCATTGTAATGTCTCTACTTTCTGTGCTAAAGTTGTATCCCTTTTTAAAGAATCGACCTGACTTTTCAATCCATTTAGTGTCTGTTGTAGAGAGGAGACCGTAGTTTCTGTGGACGTCATGTTTCTCTTCACAGAGTTAACGTCATCCACAGCTGCCCTGACGTCATTGACAAGAGATACCCGGATGAGTGTCTCCTGGTTTATAATCTGCCGGAGGACGTCAATCTCCTGGACATCCCGTCTATTGTTGTACAAAGCCGTAGAGTTGGGATCGTTAGTACCGGTTAACAAGGAACCCGTCCTGACTTGTGGTATTGAAATAAAAAGCAGTACAAGAACTAAAAACATCATCATCCTTTCAATTTTGCAGTGAGCTTACCAGAAGAAAAGAATGTTGTGCAGCATTCAGATGTTACACACGGTATATATAGAGACTGTTGGGGATTTTCATTGTTTTGTGTCTGACGTCATACGGTGCACATGTATAAAGAGATGTCTAGATAATTAGCAAAAATGTAGAGTGTAAACATCAGAACACTTGATAGTTCGTGTTGTTTGAATTAGTACGGGAATCACGTCTACTGCGACGAAAGATAATTACTTCACAAGGATGCTTTTGATTGTATCCTTATGTCACTGACGTTTTATCTTAAGATAAGAGTATCAATGATAACAAAGAAGTATTATAGCAATAGATAACAAAAACAAAGCACTGTTAACAGCCACATGCTAAGTATTTACGTCACACATAATTGTACTATTATTTCTGGCTAAATCTAACAAAGAACATCCGAAACTGAAACCAGCAATGCTATGCCATGTTTAGTTTTTATGGATCAGGTTTTCTGATATTATTCTAATATAAAAAAAAGAATTGTGAGTTTTCGTTGTAACGTTCAATTAATTTCCCATGCACATAATGGTTTATAGATCAAAGATTTTATCAGATAAGTGTTCTTTTATATTATGAATTAGAATATGAAATAAAAGCTTGGACAGATATATTCAAAATTTACCTTTTTTATAATGAACATCTATATTCGTAAGAGGATATTCAGGTTACATGTAAGTCATTCCCCCAACCATTAAATGAACAGAATATATATAAATTATTACAAGATTATTTAATTCTATCTTTAAACTGAAGACATGATGTTTAGGAGGTAAATTACCCGATTTGTTAATAATTTTAAACTGTAAAGGAGAATCGGTTGATATTTTAATCAGGAGTGTCGTTTATTCAGGTTTTTGTCTTAAATCAATTTGTCCTACTAACAAAATAATGCAATAATTTTTCTTTACCTGCACACACTGTTTAAAACAAAATATCCCTCTCCTGAATATTTTACATCTTTTTATTTAAATTCCCACTTTTAATTTTTGTTCAAAACAATAGCATTACATTAAAATAAGAATAATTTGAAGTATGAAGCGTTGCTTACTTTTTTTTCAGAACTGATTATTATGTCTAATGTCTGTGTATGATATGCTATGAAGAAAATTTTATTTGATATATAGCAAAGAAATCAATTATTCTTATATTCAGAACAATGAAAAAATTAAATAAGAAAAAAATATGAGGATTTTAAAAATGGTTAATATTGCACCTATCTGTGTTTAGTTCACATTTGAAAACATAACAAAGCGTTACTTTAAAAAATCAGAATAGTTTAATGATGCATGATTTTTGTGTCTTTATGTGTTATTAATTATTAGTAGTTGTATTAACTAGTTTTATTTTATTTTAATTAATGCTACCTGTTCTATTTCAGAAATTTCATTCATTCATATATTAACACAAACACTGTGCATTACTAATATTTTGTTGTTTATTTATATGTATAAAAATCATAAACATCCGTATGCCTGTTGACGGTCAGACAACGGTGACGTTGTAAACGACCAGAGCAGTACTAAACAGACATAACTGCCAGAGTGTATCCACCATCCACTAGACTTTTAATATTGTCATTGTGACTTATTTATTCATTAAATAAACCTTTGTTTACCTTTAAACATGCTTTTCTCTTTGTAAATTGCTGAGTTTGGTCTTATGTGTGGAAACTTAAAGGATTCCTCTACAACATCACTTTCTAAATTACTGAACTTGGTTTTATGTGTGGAAACTTATAAACAGTTATAATATCACATTGTAAGTTGCTACTTAGCTTCATCAATGTGTTTCCCCTAGCATTTTGGTAAAAGAAAACGTGTGCCTTTGATGTAAGCATCTATATCGGTTGAAGTTTTCTATGAGCAATTCATTAACATAGGATACGAAATGCAATAGTCTGACTAAATCCTCATTGCTTGAATTAGTAAGCAGATCCAACTAATTTAAGGATAAATATAAAATAATTTTCAGCTGAGTGTTCCAAATTTTATGCACAGTGCATCTTTAACGAAAAGTGTGTAATTTTAGAGCTTTTTAAATTGACTGTATGTTGTTCGAATGTTGTTGCTAGCTAGCATCAGAAAAAAATTGTGAGAATAGCACACAGTGGTCAAACTAAATAAATCTCGTACATAAATAATTCAATTCTGTAAATTGGGCATAAAACATGGAGACTAAAGATTATAAGATAGGGTCAAGCAGAGCGTTAAACATGGAGACTAATAAATTATAAGATAGGATCACGCAGCGCATAAAACATGGAGGCTAATAAATTATAAGATAGGATCACGCAGCGCATAAAACATGCACGATTTATAACTAAGATGGGATCACAAAGAGCATAAAACATGAACGATTCATAACTTATAATATAGGAACACACAGGGCATAAGACATGGATGATTTATAACTTATAATATAGGAACACACAGAACGTAAAACACTGACGATTTATAACTGATAGGATTGAATCACACAGAGTATAAAACATGGACGATTTATAACTTAAATTATAGGAACACACAGGGCATAAAACATGGACTATTTATAACTTACAGTAATTGATCACACAGAGCATAAAACATGGACAATTTACAACTTATAGGGTTGGATCACACAGAGCATAAAGCATGGACGATTTATAACTTTTAGGATTCGATCACGTACCTAGAAGGAACAAGGACATGGCTTTCGAAATGTTTTCAAATAATAGGTTTCCGCAAACTGTATTGTATGTATTAGAAAGTGAATATCACATAGGTTAATGTTACAAGGAAATTATTCAATTGTAAAACAAATATTATTTATATATTTTAGGTGAAGAGATCCTCATTAGAAATAGTTAGTGTATGTATCATTTGTTTCAAAGGTATTTAGAGGAGATAGCCTGAATTCATATTCAGTAAAACTTCAATACTTCGATTGGATTAATTCTTAACCTTTATATAAGTTAATACGCAGTGGATGAATACATTTGAATCATAAATTAACACTAATTTCGATAATTTTTGAAAAAAAAATGATTCACTTCAATATGATTTAAATCGAAGTATTTTTTGGCATTCTGAATAATTGACGTTCTAGAGATGTTCTAGACAGATACAAAGAGAATGATTTTTAGGTACTCCACACATTCTTCGCGTTTCAACTTGGACAAATATCTGCTTTTCTATATGGAATTTTAATAGGGCCAAGTAGTTTAGTATTGCATCATAGCTCTAAAATGAGAAATATAACAGCGCTCGATCATTGAATAGCTGGAATTCTTTTTTTTAATAAGAAATCCATTTTCGGTCATAATAAAAAGATCCCTAGAATTCCATTTCAACCTGCCCATCAATTTTTTCCCCACCTCGATTTCTTTTTATTTCTGTTTTTCCTCGTCTTAATTCTGACTGGGATCGGTATTCAACTATCATTCATTTTTTGTTTTATATTCCAGCACATGTCGGCATGATTTTGACAGCTGAAAAGGGTAATTAATATACTATAAATATAAATTAAACATAGGTCACTGGTTGTGAAAGATTGATGATGACGAGTAATAAGAGATAAATGAACCTCTACTATGACTTTTTTCGAGTACTCTAAATAATTCTGGAATGATTGACCAGGTCAATGAAAATTCTGCAAAATTGCAAAATGGAAAAAATACAAAAATAAAACCCGTCTGCCGGCCTTCATTTTTAAGAGAAATATGGTGAGAATCTAGGATTTTTTAATTATCGCCTTATGATAATTTTATGAAAAATATTATTTCAACCAAAAAAGAACATTATTTTCAACATGCTCTTTTTGTTTTTAAACAATTTAAACTTTAAACAAAGTATTAAAATTAAAAGCTAAATTTTAAGACTTACTACGCTAAAATTTTATTTGATAGACCTAATATGGAACACTTCTAATACAGTAACCAGAAGAATGCATCTCTTTAAAAAGAAATGATCTGTCTAAGCTATGCAGCATTGTTAAGTCTTGAAAACAGGGGCAGTGTCTAATTTATACGGGAAATGTTTACTGTGATGTAACACATAGATAACAAAAATAAGTATTCTTATTAATACAGGAAATCAAATACTTTGCAATTTTAAACTGTATAAGCATATCAAATAACATAAAAACTTATCACTGCATTAAAAATAGTTGCTAGTTAAATCCCAGACAAGAGTTTATAAACAAATCACTGACCACAACAAATTTATCGCTATTGTGTCTTTTTGTGAAAATGCATTCTATTCTTGAAAAGAATATAAATTACAGATTTTAGATAGGTTATAAATACCCATGTAAAACCTTTGTTTAGTGCGGTTATTCAATTATAAGCATGTGTATGTGTGTATGAATTTTAAAGTCAAAGGCAAAGAATCCCATGCAGTTGGTCCTTGTTACATGTATCTACGACTTATCGTTTTGATTTTCTTAAATTATTCATAAATTTAAAAAAAAAAGTACAGGGACAACAACTCATTGAAGAGGTCAACGAATACTTTCGCAGTGGATAGATTGAAAATCCTCTCCATTAGTCGAAGAAATTATTACGAGTTTAGGGATTTCGGAGGACTAGCGATTACAAGATTTTGTTGTACAAGGGGCAATGACTATGAAAGGATAATAGGTAAATTAACAGGCCAAACTTTACCAAATAGTTTAGGTAGTCATTAATCATGTTCTATGAAGTTTCTCGACAAATCTTTTGATCAAAATGTCATTGCAAAAGATTGATAACGACAAACAGACTCATTTCAAGAGGACTTTCAGTGAAAGGTGAAAAGACCTAATAATGATAATAATCATGATCAGCTCAACTTCTCAACTTCTCTTTAACCTTTCTTAATCTACACTTTTTAACGTCTGGTAAATGTAAATGATTGGTTGTTAAAGGAGTCTTTTCGCATAGTAAATTTTTAGTAAAAGTCTGAAGTAACTGAAGTAAAACCGCATGTCTCTTTACTAAATATTTGATTGACGAGAAAATCAGTCGATAATTAGGTAACGATTTTATATAACGACTGAATTAATCAATACCCTTTATGCATCTCAAATTCATCAACCGTACACCAAAAGGAAGATGAAACTGTGACCATCGTTTTTATTTTTTGTGTTTATCTATTCCGGAAGAAAGCAAAATTTTATAGAAACACCTAATGTCTTCTAAAGATCAACAGAAAGCAGCTAAAATATTACAGATCTTTTCCTTTTTAGTGGCTTTCTCGTAAATGTTTCAAATTCATAGGGAATTTAAATGAATTCAGGAAAAAAAAATCACGTAAATTCTACAAAATAATTACCAGATCTACCCATGAAGAAAATTAAATGTAGTTGTGTGAAAAGTGGAGCCTATTTAATTTGCATTTACAAATGTAGCTAATTTTGATGAAAACAGAATTTCATAGAACATTTCTAATGAAGATCAAAGGAAATGTAGCTCAAACATTATAAATCATCTTCCAACTAAGAATTTTTATTGAGTTTCTTGTGCATATTTCAAATGCAATTAAAAGTTTTCAAAGAAGAAAACAAATAACATTTTAGTTGCAAAAGTAAAGAAAAAAACATTTAATGTTATAATCGTAAAACTGAGATCTAGTTCACAACAGATATATCATTTATATTTGTAACACTGCGATTAAAAATGTCTGTCTACTTTCCCTAAGGATATTACCATGCTAATGACAACTCAATTCTGCTTACTTTGATCCCTACTAGGTTAATTATTGGTTAATCTAACATATTATACACAGGCTTTTATCCTTTCTTGGTCAACACAAAGAAATATATTGTAAGAATTGTTTTGGTTTATGAATGAAATCATTATTACAAATTTAAAGTTATTTTTCAAGTATTGCTTGTCGTATGTTTTTATAAGTCAAATAGTTTATTTGAATATCGTGACATTTTTAAATGTTGTCTAGTGATAAGAAATTAAGATCTTCCATCTTCACCGAAAGACCTTCTTGTTATTCTTAGGTTTCTTTTCCTCTATTTTATTAAGGTCTTTCGTTTCCAACGGAAGACCTAATTGTTTTCGTTCTGTTTCTTCTCCATATTATTATTAGGGTCTTCCGAGCTTCTGATTCGGAAGACCCTTCTGTTATTCTATTGTTTCTCCACTATTATCATTTTTTTTTCGACAAATTTTTGTCAGCCGATTTCTCGGATATTTTTTGCTCGATTGTTATGAAACTTTCAGGATAGATACCTTATTTCAAAGCCTATTCGTTTTTCAAATTTTTGATTTCCTCCCCTGTTTATGAGTTATTGCCCTTTGATTGATATTTCGAGGGTCTTTTGTCCGTCTGATTTCTCAGGAACTACCTAAGATAGTTACATTAACATTTTAAGAAGATGTTGCTTATGTATTGTAGTTGTGCAAGACATAAAAATTATTGGCTAAATTTTTAGCTCACCTGAGCCAAAGGCTCAAGTGAGCTTTTCAGATCACATTTTGTCTGTAGTCCGTCTGTCCGTCTGTCCGTAGTCTGTCTGTCTGTAAACTTTTCACATTTCCGACTTCGTCTCAAGAACCGCTGAGCCAATTTCAACCAGATTTGCCACATAGCATCCTTTGGTGAAGAAAATTCAAGTTTGTTCAAATGAAGGGCCGCGTTCTCATTCAAAGGGAGATAATTGGGAATTAATAACAATTTGATGGCATGTTTTAAAAGTCTTCTTCTCAAGAACTACTGTGCCAGGAAAGATGAAACTTATGGGGAAACATCCTCAGGTAGTGTAAATTCAAGTTTGTTCAAATCATGACCCCCGGTGGCAGGGCGGGACCACAATGGCCGAGCAAATTTTTATATAGAAATATATAGAACAATTCTTTAAAAATGTTCTTTTCAAGAATAGTAAAGCCATTATTGATCATATATACATGAAAGCATAATCCGGTAGTGTAGATTCAAGTTTGTTCAAATCATGACCCCTGGGGGTTGTGCGGGCCAAATTGGCCGGCCAAAGATTTACATAGAAATATATAGGACAATACTTTAATAATCTTCTTCTCAACAATAGAAAAGCTATAATTAATAATATTTATATGGAAACATCCTCTGATAGTGTAGATTCAAGTTTCTTAAAATCATGACCCCCGGGGGTTGGGGGTGGCAAAATGGCCAACCAAAGTTTTACATAGACTCCCACATCCCTCCCCATCTATAGTTATCAACAGCCTCCCTCATGATAAGCAGCACAGCTACCCCCCCCCCCCATCTATCATTATCACCAGCCCCCTCACGAAGAGCAGCACAGCTACCCCCCATATATCATTATCATCAGCCCCCTCACGAAGAGCAGCACAGCTATCCCTCCCCCATATATCATTATCATCAGCCTCACTTCACGAAGAGCAGCACAGCTATCCCTCCCCCATATATCATTATCATCAGCCTCACTCACGAAGAGCAGCACAGCTATCCCTCCCCATCTATTGTTATCATCAGCCCCCAACACGATAAGCAGCACAGCTATCCCTCCCCATCTATTGTTATCATCAGTGTCCCCACAGCAAAGCTATCCCACCCCCATCTATTGTTATCATCAGCTTCCCTAACGATAAGCAGCACAGATATCCTCCCCATCTATTGTTATTATCAGTGTCCCCACAGCACAGCTATCCCTCCCCATCTATTGTTATCATCAGTGTCCCCACAGCACAGCTATCCCTCTCCATCTATTGTTATCATCAGTGTCCCCACAGCACAGCTATCCCTCCCCATCTATTGTTATCATCAGTGTCCCCACAGCACAGCTATCCCTCCCCATCTATTGTTATCATCAGTGTCCCCACAGCACAGCTATCCCTCTCCATCTATTGTTATCATCAGTGTCCCCACAGCAAAGCTATCCCACCCCCATCTATTGTTATCATTTAACTTATTGTTATTGAAATAGATTATGTGGTTCCTTTTAACTTCAAGATAACTTCAACAAATGGAAAGGACATATGACGAGAAACAATGATTTATTTTTATTGTAAATACACCTGAATAGCGACTTGAAGACCACAAAAATAGTTGTTTTTTTTTCTAATGTTATTATGCGCAGATTTAATAGCAAATGACAAAACAAATTCTTCAGGAAAGTCAATGTTAAACTTAAGATTTTGTTTTAATAAAACCATGAAAACATATGGTGACCAGAATTTAAAAAATGTATGAACAAATTCCCTTTTATCATAGTGTTTTGTTGTCAAACTGCACGGGGAATGAGTTTGATGCGAATATCTACTCTGCATTTCTCTATTGATGATGATGTGCAATAAGTCTTCATTAATATTCAATTATAATATTCAAAGTAATATTCAATATAATAATATTCAAAAATATAAAGGTCAAGGTTATTCCAAAAAGAAGAAATTTAGCTCTTTTAATCTCTTATACTATCTGTCTTTGCATCATTAAAAATGCACTCTTAAAACTATTTCAAATATTTCATCCTTGTCCCCTAAGATTGACCCTTTTAAAAGTTATTGCCCTTTGAGCGAAAAGCCTACATTTTCATAAATTGTAAACAAAAGCTCGACAAGGAAGTTCGAATTTATCATAAGCTCTATATGATTCATTCAATTTATTCACACTATAAACAAACTCAAATGAATTGTTTTTACAAGATATCTCCATTTTCATTATCCACCAATCGTTTTTCTCAGAACTATTCATTATTCCTCTCTACATTCCATCACAAACAAATAAATACACGTGTTTCTGTACTATTTAAAACTGCACGCGTCACTATTTTTATTTAAATCCACGTGCTTTCATTTCTTCTTTTTTTTCTACACTATTAGTTTACGGAAAACAATTTCATCGGAGCCTGTGGCGTAGTGCATAGAGCGCTCGCCTGGCAATCTGAGGGTCCACAGTTCGAACACTGCTGGCAGCACATTTTTTTTTTTGCGTTTTTCTTTTTTTCAATTCAAACGACACGGAAAGGTGGAAAGACCATTAATTGTTCTCTGAACAATTAGTCTACTAGCATTTATATTTGAAAGGCCACAAAAGCTGTCACATCTATTAAGCACACCGTTTTTGAATGGCGCTAAATTCACATTAAAGACCAACAGAATAAACAATTATGAAGAGGGAACATTGGAGAATGTAAATATTAGAGCGGTATTCAATTTGTTGGCATAGTCAGGTGTGCTATAAGACAGTTGTCATCCAGAAATATACCTGAATAAAACTAAACTCTTGGTTTCAATAAGATTAATAACCCTGCAAAGGTTACATTCTCATTCGGTTTCACAGTTTTCTACAAAGTACTCTTGCAATTTTGACTTTGAACTCTGTGAAATCACAAATTTTCGTGGGGGGAGGGGGTAATTTTCGTCATTTTCGAGTTATGAAGAGACCCACAAATTCATGTCCGACATGAAATGTAAAATGTTACATACATAAATACTCTACACTTATTCATCCATGAAATCAAATTCCCATGAAACAAGAGTGTTTCCTCAAATCACAAAAATTGACCCAAAGAAAATATGCGATTTTACGATATTCTAAAAACATACCACAAGATTCACCTGGTATGCGGTAAATAGTTTTTTTTTCCTCTCATTGTTATGCTGCCCAATTGTTCTTACTTGGAACGATTATTTATACTCAAGGCAAATTAAAACCATCGGATAATACAAAATGAACCAATGACATGAAAGATAGAAATATTGATGATAACTTTAGATTAAACCAAAACCAAAAAATAGAATGGCTCAAAAACGAATAAAATATTTAAAAGGTGAAAAGTAAATTTGTTCTACCCCATTAAGAAAGGCAAATTCTCTTTACTACTCTCTCTATGCAACCTAAATATTAATTTATATATGGCAGTTTGGACGACTTATGTAAGAACAACTTCCGTTTTGTTATCTGCACTGCGTGTTTAGTGATAAGACCTATTGACCAACTGCTATTGACAAATTACTGTATCCATACTGTTGTTTATCTCAAACGGGAAGATGGAATGTCGACGGGTATAAAGAAGCGGCGTTGTGAAACTGTCATGAAACGTAAACGATAAAGCTAAAACTATTTTATCTATCTCTCCTCCCTAGATCTAATGCAGAAATTTCTTTTTTTTTTCATTTTATTTAAACAGATGTAGCTTATACAGCGTGTTTCAGCAAACATGTTCCGACTTTGTGGTTGCAATAAAAAGTTAGGCAGTATTCTGAATCGATTGTTTATGACAGGCATTTTTAAAAATTAAACGTCAGCGGCACTTTTCAATTTCACATCATTTTATGTGATCTAAAAAGTCACACTATTTTCAGTCAGCATCCGCATTTTGTCTCTGAGGTCTTTAAAATATTAAGACATTTTTAATGAAAAGTCTGTTTCGTAGAAAGAAGATTTTCATATGAGTACTTTTTTTCAAAATCTTATGAACTAATCTTGATGATTTTGGAGAATTTTCTGTTTGTTTTCTTTAGTTTATACAAAGGCATAGATCCATTTCTGAAGAAAATAACCTCGAAAGCTATTTTGAAACTGTAATAAAAACTGAAATGGAAAAAAATGTGATGTCTTTTATTCATATTGTTAATATCATAATGATAGTGCAAGAAAACGGGCCTTAAAATGCAGTTATTATTTATTTCATTATTGTGGAAAAAATATAGACCAAAAAAATCGGGACTTGTTTGTTGAAGCACCCTGTATAATGGCTAATATTTTTTTTTGTGCTTTAGAACCACAACCACTGCAACACAACTGGTTTACGTAACCCCAACTACCAGAGAAAAGACAATTCACTATTTATTCTCCGTTATTTTTTTGGTCATCCGTTTTTATGCTATCGATTAAAGCTATTGTAAGATACACATGTACCATCAGATGGAGGATTACATGACAAATAAAAAAAGTGAAATAAAAAGATAAACTTATAAAATATTGAGGAATACAGAAGCTTCTTTACATTAACAAATATCGCAGTGTACATGTGCGTCTGGAATTTCAGTTGACGCTTAGTATTGTAAAATTATGACGTCAAGTCTGTATTTTTTTTTCTGCTATGGAAGGTTAGTTTTTTTTTTCAATGCATACTAACAATGAGCCATGTATTTAAATTATATACCATTTTGTTTTTAAAATCCTACGCTTTTTAAAATGTTTTGAACCAACAGATCTGAAACGTTTCATATTTTGGCCAATAAAGTACCTTGTTCTTCGGTGGGTCGGTTAGGAGAGTCATGCTTTGGAAATAAAGCTGTACGTTCCCATCCTCAACCCCGCTTCAACATAAGTTATTCAAATTTAGAAATATCATATTGCTTGTCAAAAAGCTTCGATATTGGGTCTCATTTGAACTGAGCGTGGACCAACCCATACTCGAACCTTTTGAAAATTGCAGAGTGTACGTCTGGAGTTTCAGATGACACTAGCCTGTTAGAATTATGACGTTAGGACTGTTTTTTTCCTTGAAAATCTTGACGTTCTGTCATGGAAGGTACATACACTTCTCCATGGCACCTGATCCCACCCCTGATGTTTAAGAAGTGTTATTTTGTATTGTTTGTGGACTTTGATTTTAAATACTCTTCGTTATCTCCATATCCTTCATTGATCCACATTTAATTTCAAACAGTATACCAATAAAATATAAAACAGGCTGCAATATTCTGAAGGAACCTCCCTATTGATAAAACAAACTGCATTGTGAAAGTGAAAATAGAATTACAAATATAAAACAAAGTAGATCAATCTTGAACTTCAATGTCTGGAATTAATTTAATCCTTCTTAACACACTGATCCGGTCTGCCCTATACTGCACCATTTTGTAATTCGCCAAGGTACTTTGATATCAAAGACGCCCAGCATTACCCAAATGCTTCTTTTTATAAATTTATCTACTAGAAAAACATGTGTTGGTATACATATGATTTTGTTCTTTATGACTAAATGCTGTTTTCGATATGCTAGTTTACAATAAGATGGATTTTAATTCCTGAGAATTTATGGCACGTTGTCCTAATCACACATATATGAAGGTATATATTTTTTGGAGATATGACATACTAGTAATGAGATATGTATACTAATGAAAAATTAGCTTTATAATTTTAAGAGAGATGTACATTTTCCCCAACTGTACAATCCTTTCGTATAAATATAGAAAAAATTATCATCAATGGACGCAACATTAATTTATAATTTGTTTCTAAGTTTTGATAATATATACGTTTTTCCCAATGTATTTCACGTATGTAATATACCTGTGTTTTTTCTGATTATTGTACTGTTGCATTCATAATTGTACTATCCATGTATAGAGGACCCCGAGGAAGACTAGTGCGTGCACTAATCGGGTTAGCCTCTTTAAATAAAGTATTATTATTAATAATATTAGCATTATTATTATACTAGTAATGAAATATGTATATTACCGAGAAATTAGCTTTGATTTGGATTTATAATTATGTATCAATTGATGTTTAGCATGAGATAGAGTGCGTGTGAATACTCCCAACTGAAAATGTGCTATCATTGCAGGGGTAATAAGGAAGCATACAAAATATTTTACCTTGACTAAATCAGTGCTACACTATGACGTCATAGTAGGTGAGATGACGTCAATTTTAGACTACGAGTTTTCGTAATATTGGTATTTAGAAATGTAATTTAACTCTAGAAAATGAATAGAAACGTGTACATGTAATCATTAACAAAAATAAAATAATTTCATTTTGATATGCTGTATCTGTTATTTTAATAAAGATCTACCACAGATGACGTCATATGTGTACATCAAGTAACTTGGGAATAGATCATGTCGTGTAAAGAGAATTTGGCCAAGACGGCATGAACAAAGATACGTAAAATGGAATTTAAAAGCAAATATCATGAATATTATGTGAAATTCATATGGAGTTCAGCTAATTAAACAGGTATGC